TAACTAAAGATATAGCCTGCCGGTAAACCTGAGAGTAACCCGAATACAACACCTGGGTGCTCAACAAAGAGATCTGAATCTTGAAAATCATTGTAATTTATCATTTGAATAAATCTTATTTTAACAGCGTTTTGAACGAATTTACACACTAACAGGGCCCTAACCGAGATATCCTTCAGTTGAGAAATTGAAGGACCGAAACCGAAGTCTTCGCCTGTACTAAGCAAACATAATTATACGTGCGAGCAAAAACAATTGTTTAAAATCATTCTTTGGTTATATGATACCTGGAAACACGGGACAATCGAATCAGAAAGATAATCACATTATCTCAAATGTTGGCGAGGACTGGTAAACGAAGTACTGCATATGCGGTTTTTAATGGCGAAGTGCTCCAAGTACTGCTGCAGAACACCGGAGAAGTGAAACGCAAACCATTATTGAATCAGCTTGCTAAGTGATAAATTTGATATATATGACAATATACGTTGTGTGTGAACAAATTAAGACTTCACTTGGCCCTTTGCTCCTTGTATTTGTCGTGGAGCACTTTGCTGGTGAGAAAATGTCATTTTTACGCCAGCAATGTGATTATGCGAAAACGTCATGGTGTCGAAGGCCAACAATCTTATTCATTGCGTCATGTTGCCTGTCTAGACGCAGCGCGTTAAGAACAAGGTGTCGTATTAAAATCAATATTAGTGGAATTTTTTTTCAAGTTGTTCTACCTGTATTGTGCAAACAAAAAGAATAAAATAACTTAGTTCAGTACGCTTTTTAAGGATTGCCTTTTAAACCACATAACCTCACTTAGGGCATCAGAGTGTTTGTCATATAACGCGACACCTTTTGATTATTACTGGGTCAATCATTTGCGACATGTTTGTGACAGATGACATTAAATACGTTTGACCCAGTCAAGGTCACTTAGGGACACAGCATGTCACGCCGCTGGGCCCGGCGACATCGAGGCGAATTGACGGTGACCAACTTCGCAGACAACTAACGTGTATGCCTGTTAAGCGTCGTTCATGTACATTTAAGCATAACGTCTACCTGTCTCCGGTATTCCAGGCTGCATGTACATGTAGTCGCCAGGAGAAGTTTTGATACGTGAAACGAGAAACCGATATCCACCTACCAACTTTGGTTCTCCTTTTCAAAAAATGAATAGACACGCGTGCATGTGCACACTAATGGATACACGCGCACACTCGCACCACACGCATTTTAACATGCCTCCAAAAAGACATTATTTAAAGAATTTCCTTTCAGCGTGAGATTTATTGGCAGAATGTCGGTTTCTTGCCATGAACGGCTAATTCACAAGAAAAAAAAAGAAAAGTAAAACAAGCGCGCGTTTCAACAGTTTCCCACACAATGATTACCCTTTTGTTCCTTAACTCTCCATAAGTTAGATTGAGTTAAATTCCTTACATTCACCTGTCACCTAATAAAGCGCACACACACCTGCGTGGTGCAGGTTTTTCAACAGAAGAAAAATGAACATTTTGAAGTCATGAAAGAGAGCTAGAATATGATCGATAGTTTATAATATTCTCAGTTATCAACAGATGTGCTCTATATAATGTCTTTTCGTTCTAGTCCCATGCGCAATTTACATACTTGTATTTGGACTCCAAATATCAACTTCTGAAGGTGCTATAATGATACAGAGAAGATGCAGAGTTTTCTCTTTCCTAACTTTTAGTATTGGCGATAGCATCAGCATCGGTTTGTAAATAAATAAAATGGACCCCAGTGGCATATTATGATTTAACGACAAGTTGACAACAACATGCTTTTCCGACCGCAAGATTGGCACCGATGTCGGTTTCGCTGGAGGAGATATGTTCCCATTTCTTCCAAAGTGTATGCCTTAACCTTTGAGACCCCCTAATTTTTATGAATACATTCAAAGTTCGAATTAATTTGCGGAGAAAATGATCGAATAGCTGCATTGGGCGTATCAAATGAACGCCACAGACCAAAGTAGCATTCTTGGCCGCAGAGGGGTTCTGGTAACCCATTCCTGAATAAGAACGGTTAAATCCTTCGCCAGAGCTTTTCAGCATTCTGATAGTTGTTTCGATTAAGGGGCATTTCTTGGGGTGGATGGCGACGACAAAGGACGTTGAAAGCATTGGAAATGGACTGTTGAAATAGAAAATTAATAGCCGGATTGAATTCACTATTCACAATTATCATAGTAACTCAGGGCAAATTGCTGTATCGTTGACAGTCAAGATGCCAGTCAAGCACGCTTCAACGCTTTCCTAACATATTAACACGTAAACTATGATTCAGTCAATTGTTTAAGGGTGCTGTTTCACCTTTCATTCATAAAAGGGCAGATTATTCACGCGATATCTGCCCAAAAGTCATGTCTACACTGGCTGGAAGGATGTGTAGATTTGGAAGATTAGGAAAAACATTTGGAAATGGAATGTAGTGTGGCAACTGTGTATACTTATCGCAGGTTAATTGAATTCTAGTAGATAAAAGGAATACAGCTGTAGCGCTATGTGACCATACATTAATTAAGTGTAGATCAGTCTAAAAACGACGAATCCTAACAAGTAACCCAAAGCTGATGCGAAAATGCGCCTACACCTGCGGGCCGTGGAATGGATAGTCTACATTGGTTAAGCAAATAATATGCCATCTATATTTTTCACAAAAGTGCATTTTATCCCCCTCCCCTCTCTGTAGGTTTATCAATTGAAGGGATTAAGGCTATTACATTTTATAAAAATGCTTTTACTACTCTTTAGGTGTGCTCGCATACATTCGTATGCACGCGCGTCTCCTTACTTGCATTCAACATAAGTCATTTACAAACTGATTTCGTTTCATATCATTTGCTTTTATGAATCTGACATTAATATTTAGGTTCAAATGAAAAAAATTATACAATACAAAAACATTTCATTCACATTCATAATCAACGACTCTCTAAAATATTTATCAATTACATTATTTTATTAATTACAAAACAAGTTTGAGAGCCCAATAGCGATAGTCAAAAGATCTTTGTGAAAAATCACATTGAAATAAAACGTTGCGTCAGTTGATAGTGCTAACTAGCTCACAATACACGAAGTTTCACGTGAGTTACATTGCAACACCAGTACATGATTTATGTGTTTTTGTGGGAAGTACAACACCTGTTTGTGACTTGATTAAAACATCTCCCAGTCAATGACATAACCATCTATCTTTTACGGCCTCATTGCCATCTCACAACGACTAAAACAAAGTTATGGTAAAAGTACTTTAAAGCGTGCTCTTAAAAAAGGTAAAGAACTGGTCGACTTCCTTAAGGGCAAAATTGTATTTTAGTCATCCAATTTCAAAACTTAATTGTCATTCTGCATTCAGCTTACCTGAAGAAATATTGCGACTAGTCTGACTTTTCCTATGGTACTCCGCCCTTACAACTACACAACCAAATCACAAACTGAATAACTGAGTGGCGTCTGTAATTTTGAAGTTCGACAGGCCAGTTGCTTCGATAGTTTACCTCATACCTCAGCCACCCAACTGAGCACGACTTTTTGCCTATGGTTCTTTACGTATGAGTGTATGACAGAAAGGGACGGGGTAAATACGTGTTTTGCGTACCTCCAACTGCCCAATGATTTTGATAGGGGAGATATCGATTTCATAGACTAATTCTTATCTGACATGTTACATTGGAACTTCTTAAAGTTACAAAGTTATAATTAAAGATAGGAATCATGTACGAATTACCTTTCCTTTTGATATAGAAAAGGAAGCGGTAGACTGTAAGGAAGTCTACGGTGCAGGAAAAATTGGATGTAATTTAAGCTCACTTCATATCTTTTGCATCACTTTCTGACACTTTCCTTTTGACTATATTTAATTTCATCATTTTGAAATTGCTTCATCTGATGAGTTTTCCAGCTGACATTACCCTAGGGCAAGTCTTCTCCCGTTCGACCAAGAATACCTTAACATTCTCAAGTTAAATATCAACGGTACTCTGTATATATCGTATTCTCCCCTGACAGCTTCACAACTCATCGGCTATCATCGACGAAGGCAATTTTGCACTATCATATAACGAAATCATGACGGCCCAAAAATGTAGCTACACGTCCCCTCTTACAACTTGTCGGGATCTTTAAGAATGATAAATACGTGAAATTACATCTGGTTGAATAGGACGGTGTAATTCAGTACGATAAGGCCTTGCCCTTCGTCCCGTCTGCACATTTGTCATATATTGATATCCACAACACCGCTTGTCCCCAGACAAATGGCGGGCCAAGCGACACGGTTAACGTATCAGCCTTTCAGACATGGGAGCATTTCTAGTAGGTTAACTAAATTTGATCAGCGCTTCAGTACACTTTCCATTTTTAAAAAATATTCGATCAGCAAGAGGGTTGTTCTTAACAGTCTCAATTCGCACGCCAGTCCTTCTAGATTTTTGTTCAAAACCTGTACATATGTACCTCTTTTTATATTTTTTCATTGACATAAAACTCACAAATGCGCGTATATACTCTAAGCATTTCAGAAGCTAGATCCTTTTGGTCATTTTTTTTTACATGAATGTCCAAAAGCAATCTGCCACTGTAGGAGGAAGAGCAGCAATTAAATTATATCTAGCAGACCTGTTTGGAGCGTTCAGCAGTCTAGAATTTCACTCTAGAACCCATTGCACAGTAACTTGTATTCAAGGCAAGGTATAAATAATCAGTTTCGATTTGGCACTTTGAGTTTGTCTCTTTGATTGTTACTGGATTCCAATCGCCATATCATAGTATATCAGAAACACTAATTCTAAGTTTGACGGCGTTAAGGTTTTATAAAAATACTTAGAGACAAAAAAACCCTGATATTGAAAAAACTGCGTTTAATTGCGAAAATCCTATCTTCCTGATCTAATGTATTTGATAAAAACACAAAGTAAGATAACTATGACTTTAATTGAAAATAGAGATAACAAGAGAAAAGTATGACTATCTTACCTTCCTAAGCTTTGGAATACCTCAGCAGTCTTAGGTGATCCTGATAAGACCGTGGGCCTGGCAGATACAGAAGACACGTCGATATCACAATAAACGGAATGCTGTTCTTTTTAGTCCAACGTCACACGCTGTCAAACCCAAACCTCAACCGTTACACCCCACTTAACGCCGGCGACTGTGCACGAAGTTGAGGGTAAGGCTGGAAAAGACGCAAAAACAACAATAGCACAAACAGTGTACTTAACCCCTCAACCTGTCTGCGGTTTCTTATTTATGCGCAAAATGTATTTCTGTTTAAAAAACGAAGAATAAAAAACTTCGTTTTTTAAATACAGAAATACATATAGACTCTAATTTTGTGGTCAAATAATTTCATTTCCAGCAGATTAACGGTGTAACCTCCTTAAAGGATGCTTGTGAATAAAGCATTTATTATGCAGTTCACTTTAATCTTCCAATTTTTCTTGATGTGGTTTGAATTAAAAAGGAAGTGGAAGGGGGACGCCTTCCGCTCTCTATAACTGGCAATTCCGCGCATTTGTGTTACTTGTACTGGCAATTTTCTTCGCAAAGTTCGTCCACCATAGCAGTATTCCTTTATAAAGACTACCATTCAAGCAGTCCATAATTTTCTTATAGTTTTCATCAGATATCTATTACAATTGTGGAACACATATGTGTAACAGTTGATACAGAAGAGAGAAAAGAGTTCAGATGCTTGAACATTTTTGACGTAATATTGTGTTTTATTTTTTCCCCCTCTGTCTATAACAGGCGAAAAGAATGGAGAATGCAGATGCATGGGACGGTTTTATGTAGATTGCTTGTTTTGGCAAAGTATTACTAGTAGTGCAGCATTGGGATGCAGAACACATTTCACTTATTTTACCCCTTGATGCTAAATAAAAGTTAGATTTGCGCTGGATGGAAACATTGAATACGTTCAATGGCCATCTGAACTTTCTTTCTTACGGTTGAATTCTTACTTTAGTATAGTGTCCTTTGCACATCTTAAAAATACACTCTCAGCAAAACTCGTTTAATGAAAATTGAGTAAGAGTTAAAAGTCAATACATCTCTATTTTGCACGTTAACTCGTCAGGAAAAGATAACTCCGAGTTACTCAAATGCGAACAATCGTACAGTTAATTAGAAAATGGTACTGCTGTAAAAGGAATCAACAGAAACAAACGTAGCCCCGAAGGTTAATGAAAAGAAAGGGTTTGATTGTAAAGGACGAAGATGTAATTTCATCCACAACCCAAAATATTTTGCCCTAGAAACGTAAAGTCCGTGGCTTTGGAGAAAAAGTGGGAGATATGTTTTGACGGCCATTGTCTTTGTTTTGTTTGGGGACCACCCTTGTGACCTCCAGGGACTGGAATAAGACCTTTATTTCTACATTTTCCAGTTGACATTTTTGTCACCATGTTATTTTCGTTGGGTCTAACAAAATAAGATCAATTGTCTTGCCCCTACGGCTGCTGTTTCTTTTCTCAATACTCATTGTAAAGCAGGTAGACCCTCTACAAAGCGTAGGAATAGCAGAGCAATAACTGCATATTCATTGACTGGATTTTTCATATCTGTCTCTGTAGACACGTTAAACTGTAGATTCATCGATTTAAAAGAACTGTTGTTCACATAAGTACATCTTAGCTTGATTCTTGTTGAACAGCATGTAGGTAAATACTTAAAGCACTGGCTGAGTGGGATAAATGTTCAAAGCACACTAAAAAGTGCCGTTGGCAATGTCACCCTGTTATTTTTATTTTTGATAGCACTATAAAACTAAACATTCTTCTCATGCTAGAAAAAATAATAAGAAAACCAGGTATTGTCCACTAGATTAACTGCGAAATAAGAGCTTTACCTCATGTAAAATCGCCCTATGTAGTAGGTGCCGCCTGTTTCAGAAAAACGAAGAAGAGAACCTACAATAAGTTGCTCGATGTGTCAGGTTCTGAAGACTGGGGGATATATTAAAAGATACAGACTAGATCAAAATGTTATGATGTGTCGACTGGTCATTTTAGCAGTCGAATTCGACAGATTCTTTCTATTGACCAACTATACAAAGTAAAACGAGAGTTTCACTTATGCGGTCCGATAAGAAAGAAAGAGAACCGTATTTCTATGATATCATCCAAATGCCTTCAGATATTTGACGGCTCAAAACCACGTAGAGCCACTATTCTACGTATTGTTAGCAGCTTTCGTCGGAGACAAGAATAACTCATAGGCCAAAGTGATTTTCTAATTTTATGCTTCACAACATTTGAAAGTTATTTCCCAAGTGGCAAACGTAAAATTTAGACTTCATCGGCAGTTACCACTTGCACATTTATTATTTTTGACTAAAAACACCTGGTTTGTATGTTGGCAGTCTGCCAAAGCGACCAAGTGTTTAATTAACCAAGAAGGCGTGATTACAGTTACGAAGTAGGTTAATCAGGAAACCAATTTCGTACATAATGTATATGTTCTTAACACTATATTTGTCTCTTGGTTGCTTCATTAAATTTATTGTGATTTGTTGTGGAGGAGGGGAATCTGTTACCTCTGTACATTCTTGAGATGATGGACCTCTACGTGCTGTTGCAAATAGGACGCAGATTATGATGATGCCCAGCAACCGTTATACACGTTTTACTTTTGCAACAACCCCTAATTAGAAACATCCGACAGTGTTGTCCAACATTTTTAGAAAACTAGAAAGAAAACATTTCAGAAGCGATCATGATTATTGCGTCAACACTGAAAATCATGCTCATTTGGACCCTCAGACCCGCCGGCTGTGTGTTCGATTCCTCCACGGCCCGGACTTTTATAAACATGAACTTGTCACCCTCCTACCCGTTTGCCAAGGGTGGTGGAAAAATTTGACCAATGTCTTTTCATTTTCTGGGACCTTTCGAAAGTGTTTGCAAATATGTCCTTTGGGTATGTAAGTCACTTTTTGACCCCATTTCTTCACAATGAACGAAGCATTTAGAATTTCAACGGTTCATTTCCCATTGATGAAGAGTTCAAGTGTGACATAACAGTTGCAAGAAGGCCAAGACGAATTGTTGCAATTTTCTATAACATCACCTGTTTTATTTGCAAGCTGACCAGTTGGCAGATCAATGGATGGGCGCTTTTGTTAGTTTCAGAATCACTTGTCGTGCGTGTCAAATCTCCCGCCAACACGTCGAGCAAAAAACTTCATGTTGTCTGCTGTCTGAGACAAGTCTTATCTATCATCTTTTATAAGCGGTTTGAAAGCCGTATAATTTTTGTCAAAATTTACCCCATTTCGGTATCAATCAGAACGATTATTTCAGTAACGTAAAACCCTTAATTTTTCTTCATATTTACCAATCGTGAACGACATGTATTTCGAAGAGCAGTATTTCCAAACGTAAGTCAACATCGGTCGCTCAAATTTTCCTGTGCAAAACAAAGCGATTTCATCAAAAGAACCGCGGGTTGATTTTTATTTGCACTACGATGACCCTCCGAACACTGCTAACGCAAGAAAAAAGTTTTCTGACCTGTTACCACGGGCTAGGGAAGTGTTGCTGTTCAAACAAGCCTATGAATTACCGGCACATTACAGGCAGTTATGATTTCCTTTTCTGCATGGCCGCTGTATCAGAAGTTCCGAAACAGTAGAACTGTTGCTGAGACGTGCAATCGTGGTCAATGTATTCTGTCGATTCTTCACCTGCCTACGGCACTGTGAAATTGGGATCACATTTCGGACTGTTCACACCATTTAGATGCCTAATTTTATCGAAATTAATCAACGCGTATGGTTAATCAGGCGAACATGGCTGTGTACTTTATGATACTAGCCTCTTCTACTTTTGCCCCCGGGGCAGCCGACGACTAGAACGGGGCTACACGGTTAGAGGGAATTTGCCCAAGGTGTTATTCAAGCCTTATAATACAGGTCCACGGGGTCGTTACTTACAATACTTTTTGAACTTCGAACTGACTGTTCCGATCAGATTTGAAGAGACTCTTTGACACTTTATTCTGACCATCTATACAAGTCATATTTGTCATGTTCAACGAGACTGCCCTTTTGTAGTTTTTGCTTTACCGTACATTACAAACTACAAATTCATTATTTCAGAATAACATGGCATTCATGGTTATACCAACAACTGCACACCTGATTGTTCACAGGTTTTTAATCATATGACATTTTGAACATTCCTTCTTTAAGAAGTAAAACATCTTAATACGTCTAATTTGAACAATTTTTTAAAATGGGGCTGTCAAAGCAGTTCATATCTTAACAAAGTCCCCTTCATAGATCGCGGATCAATCAATCCGCCTGAAATCCTTTTAAGGATTTTTAAAAATAGAAGTTTGGTTAGAACATTCCAGGCTCATTGTTATGACGCAAACGCTGTCCAATGTTTCGGATTCGAAACAGAAAATCTGGACTGCGAACCAGTGATATTTTGATACACGATAATTTCCCTGATCATGTACAATTGCCGTATTTGAACCCGGGCGGAATAACGATACCCTCAATTATCTTCGCTGCTTTTTTCTCTCAGGTCACGGCCTAAATAATGTTGTCGCAGAATAAACATGTGTAAAACATCGTCAGATGGCAGACAGGTACAGGCGGCCAATCTATCCATGTTTCGATAACAGGAGACAACGCCAAACAAATACATTTAAAAAAAACGTCGCTGTTGTGAAAGAATTTTGTCATAATGATTGTGCCGAAAAGCCTTGTAGATGTAATTTTCTGAAATTCTAACTGTAGATGTGGCTCAACGTGAATTCAATATTTCATCCACACCTGACAGCTTTCTATAAGAAATTTCAATGATATAAAACCTAATTGCCTTTCTAGTGTTTACGCTGCAGGTTAAGATTAAGACCGCATTGAATCCGGAGGTGAGGGGCCGTTTTTAATGTAAATTTTTCATCGTTTTACATGTCCTCAAAATTCACCTTAATGTATTTTCTGAACAAAATAAAATCAGTTAAAAGTAACTTCGTCAATCAGTATGCATACCACATAGCAGACTACACAATAAATCACAAAAATATCCCCTAACTAGGGATAGAAAATAATACATTTGAGAGAACAACTATTGTATGGTAAGTTTAGTCGCGGTATGTTTTCCCCATTATTCCTTTCAGCATCAGCAGACACCCACTTTGTTTCTTCCGTCATCATTTGGTTTCTCTGCGTAATCTTATTTGTGGTCTTATACACAGGGGGGATATAGCTCTATAACCTTGGTTCGTATGTCATCTAGAGAAGCTGGATGCTTTTGTCGCAATATAACAATAATAATATATATGATTCATATAAATTTATGCATTGTGGTTGATACTTTGACATATATGGAGTTTTAAGGAAGGAAAAAGTTATTTGCTGATGCAACAGCTATGTAAATAAGCATACAGGTTGTGAATATGATTTTAACTTTTCTTAAACTAGAATGCCTATTTTAAGAGGCTGTTTGTAGGCTTAAGGTTTAGATGAAACAAAGATAGAAATATATCTATTTGGTCTACCGATTTCTAGTTTTGAAAAGGTGTAGACAAATTTAATCCAGAACGTTAGGTCATAAATTCTTACTGCGGGAGCGTCTTGGTACGCCAATAAACAGTTTCTTGGGTCTTAGCGCAAACGTAAACACCTTGGTAAAGACCCATCACGCAGCGTTACGATCACAAAACAGTCTCATTACTTGGTCGTTAAAAGATTTGAATTTTTAATGACTTGCTATATGATATAGTGCAGTCGCTTGTGTAGGAAGAGAACAAGTGGTAAAGTCCGCCGTACCGCTCACCGTCCTCCCCATAGCATTACCCTTAGGTCAAGTATATGAGAAGACTCGTGACTATCAAATTTCGCCATACCAGTGTCACTTAAACCGCCGAGTTTGTCGTATCTCAAAATTTTAGTCACAAAATAAAAATAAACAATCAACAAACATACCTCGACGTCTCTCCGCCCTCTTTCCGACCGCCAGACAAACGACACGCCACTGCAGTCGAAACACACCGAAGGACCTCAACAACAGATATTATTCTTATATACAAATTCACCTGGTCTATTTGCGACGAGAGTAAAAAAAGACATTGTATTCAAACGTACCTTGGAATAATTATGACGACCCGTCTGTTGACCCAGAAGTAATTGCTTTCTTGATTATGGAATAAAAAAGATGTCGTACCTTAATTTTGCTTCTGGTGCTACCTGTTCAGTGAATTGGAGCAAATAGCTTGTCTAACGTGACTGATTCCTGTCTAACAAGCGAAAGTCAGATGGGAGAAGCCTTTGGTGGATATTGCAAGCGGGGAAAAGCCCCGAGGGTCTGTAGGAAATTTGGAGTAAATTATGAAAGAAAAGGGACACTATGAAAGTGGTGCAGAACGCGCAAGAATAAAAAGGATATAATGGCCTGTTTGCATAGCACATTGTCCGATTATTCCGCCGCATGGTCTATTTCGTCTTTCCATTCCGCCTGGTCTGATTCGCAAACAAGGGGCGCGCTGAAAGTCGGCCCCACGTTAGGAAGCCGCGTTACACGCTTGAGGACCAGATAGCATGATATACCCCTGGCTAAACATGCTTGTCTAAGACGTAAAGTGATGCCAACCACACCTGTTTTCCCCGTATGGGAGACACAAACGAGGCGAGGTTTTGATAGTGCTTGTTCCGAAAGTAAAGATTTGTCTATCCGGAGGGAGGGAGTTTCGATTACCACCCGGGGGATTACTTGGGATTAAAACATGAACTTCCTCTAATTTTTAACTGCCCCCGAGTTGGGCATACAGTCCATGCAGTCGTCCGTGTAATATCATCGATTTCTTAGAGCTATCTTGGTGTTTCCCTGCCCTACTGTAAAATACTGAGAAATAAAAATACGTGCACTAATTAACATGCAAACGCAATCACAGGGTTTAGATTTCACCCCAATGTGACAACTACTTTGAAATCAACTAGTAAATGATAGTTGATTTTAAAATTAAATTATGATTCACATTTTATGTGTATGAAAATGAACTTGGGCAAAGAAACAGGCAGAAAAATAAACAGTTTCATTAACGAAACGTGTAAGGTAGGAGTTTTATGCACACCTACTTGAGTAATAAGCATAACATATGACTTATTAACATGCTGTAAAATAACTCTGCGTGTTAATAAAACACATTGTCGTAAAGTTTTTTTTCGATGCGTCACGGGAGATGAGGGGTGCACTGCACTTTTTGTATCTAGTTTTGATGTCAAGTCCGCCCTATGAATATACTAATCTAACTTATCAAATACATATTATCAGTATGATTTTACTCAATTTAGACGTTTACTATGAAAATTAGTCTTCATATCACATTTTATCACTCAGCTTTAAAAAGAATTCTTGTGGAAAAATGTGAGACGCATTTAGATGCGTGTGAACAAGAGGCCTTTGTGAGACCAGCAGATTTAAGTTGATCGACATCAACCTTCATGATATATATAAGCCAAAGACCAAGAACCGTACACAATACTTCAAAAGTTCTTACTGTAAAGACTGCTTATATCCTATTACGTTAAAAATAATTGAAAGAAAATTTGATCCCCTAAATGTCTCCGACACCGGCAACGCCACTTAAGTGTACGATCAAAATTGGACAATAAAGCAGGGAAACGCCTTAAGAACCAATGAATGATGCTTACTGTTACTTGTTTTCGCACTTCATCATTCGAAGCAAGGCACATAATGTTTACATGAAACTTACGCAACATAGATTTTCGTTTGACCGTTGTAATTAAGCGTTCAATAGGTGTTGGAAGCCGGACTGTTGACAGTGGCTTGCGTCTGCATTAAAACATGCCGTCAAAAGGCAACCGCCTTTAATTCATTCTGAAAACTCAGACGCTCTTGTTCATACTATGGCAAGATCTGCAAATATGACAGAAGCAAATCAAACTGACCCAGGGCTGCGAACATCAAATTGTGAGATCTCAAACCGCCAGGAAGCTAACTAGTGTTAGTAAATATTAAACCAGCTTTAGCACTTGTGGCATTTTTACGACTCGTTACTCCTTTTATGGGAGATCGGAACTCGAAAAAATCGCGGGAGGGCATGGCATTGTTCATACATCAGTGCTTGTCAATTTCTTAGACGGACATTTAATTCCCTTGTTATTTGTGTTGTCTATGAAAATATATCACACCCACTTCCATAGCGCTTCCCCTCCTGCGGCCCTCACGCGCTGTGCGCCATCCAAATATGTGAGCGCAAAAGTGACTGTGAACTATATAACAGGGTGTAAATGTCATTTATCAACGGCGTAAAGCTTTATAGTCGATTAAATGAAAGACCCGGGGATGTTATTCTATCACTGGACATCGACTCTTTGAAAGAAAACGATATTGTGACTCGAGTAACACCGTCAGATAATGCATGGCTTGTTGTCGTGCGGAAAAGGGCAGGGCTCGGCTTGTCTGGGACGCAATACAAGGAAGCGTCTTCTTAGCAAATGTCTCGCTGTCATTTTAACCGGTATCTGTTACAATTTAAAGGTCTTTATTCCTTTTCTAGCCAATTTATAATATAATCATCATGATTTACCACTGGGTTGATAATAAGCAAATTTAGCGTCACTCGCGCGAATTAAGCCCTCTTTATGTCTTTTAGGTGTCTTGCGTTACCTTTTCATCATGGTATGTGGTTTTGTAAGTGTCACAGAGGGATGTGGTCCAGACACTGGGATGCTTCAAGGGCATCGTCTGCTCCACTCACAGTTGTCTTCTGTAGTGCCTCTAAGATCATGTCTATACATGTACATAGGATGGACAATTAAAAAGATCCGGAATTTAATGAATCAAAACCAATCACTGACCATTTTTTATTGAGCACCAAAAAAGCTACTGAACCAAAACTAGTACAAAAGTATCAACCATACATAATCCCACGAGACAGCAAAGTTTGAAACTTCATACACCGTAGAATTACATGTGTAATGAATAACCTTTGATTTATCATCATCTTAAGTTGGAGACGTATTTTCTTCCACGCAATACATATTCTTTTGAAAAAATAACTTAAAGAGCCAGCATAACCCGAGATAGGTAAGGTTCGTCAGTTCATCCATTCAAACTACTGTTACAACAATCGTATTATACAGGGAACCTCCCGGTTCATACAGAATTAAATGTTCAAATATTCAAACCGTTTTAAAAAAGAGAAACAGAACCTCTCAAGCGTGATAAAGAAGCAGAGAAACACGGGAAATAGGACTTGGGTGACTGCATTTCATGAATACTCCTTTTTTATGGGAATTTTTCTTTGAATAAGACATACCAAATATGCGACTAAATCGACTTGGGAAGTCATAGGGACTATGTATTTCCTCTTAACACACACAAGATCGTTATCTTCAGCCAATTTAGCCGTGTCTCGTGTCAAGCGTCACAGAGCAAACGGAAACTATAGAGGTATTGTCAGTGTAAAAAAAGGAGAAAAAAAAACAGATTGACCTGAGAACGCACACCTCTTGTTACGTGTTTAAGTTATGTGGTGTTCTTTATGGCAATTTGATCTCCATTACTGATGACATAGTCAAGACCGGTAACCGAAACCTTTCCTCATTAGCCGCTTTGTAGTGATCTACCACCTACATGTACGTTGGATGAAGTCAGAGGTCAATTTGTGCTGTAGAATCTAGCTGGATCTCGGGGAATTTGGTTGAAAAAAAGAGAATATTTTCTAGTCTTTGTAACAGTTTTCTTTTAGTCGTGTTACTCAAGTGTTTGGTGTCTTACATCAATTTGATAATCATCTATTTACATTTTTTAAAGTTATGTAGATACCGTTTTCACGTGACAACTTGTAGGTGCACCATATTAATCCGCGAAAATCCGCGTTGTGTTGTTATTGGCTATTCAAGGAAAGCACCCATTCCCGTCACATTTATTGTGTCATTTATTTACTTGGACTCTGTCAGGGTGGAAAAAATAATTTCACACCCCATTTTAATGGATAAAAGATTCTTTGATTAAGCTAAAAATATAGCGTATTTGTTTCCTCTCCCCTCCCCCTCCACCCTAAGCATAGGTACAAATGTACACGATGACGTCAGCCCTTTGCAGATTTATGAAGTCGGATATTTTTCCCTTTTTAACGAGAATCCGTGAATAAGTACTGGCGTGTTTAGCCATAGGCAAGTTTTAACAAAAGACTACCTACAAGGTAGGTCATTTACTGGTCTCATCACAATATTCCTATTACATCGTATGCCGAATTATGACCCTCCGGTTCATGAACTAACGCGAGTTACGATGATAAGAGACAGCATTGTGTTCTGATTTTTTCCCAATCAATGGAACAGGAAATACAGTGACATGTGAGAAAATTCCAGACAATGATGATGGGGTGTGAGCTTCATCAGTTTTCGTACAAAAACAGATCTGCTTTGTTGTAAATATTTTAAATCATCCTCTTGTGAATTGAGGCAATTTTACTTATACAGACTTTTGCGATAATGAAATACTCGAGAATAAAGAGCTGACTTTAACGAAGTGAATTAGTTTTCTGAGGTTGAACAGTCAACTCTAAAAATCAGAAATAGAATACAACTGTACGCTATGCATACCCGTGATGTAGTCACTGAGGCAAATCTCGCCAAAAAGTAGAATGATACGCACTTTCTTCTTTTTCTAGAAAACCCAAGGTACATATGGATCATACCTTAGAACCCATTATACAAGGTGTACAATGTATGGTGGCCCTTATTTCGTATACAGACTTTCTGTATTCTTTATGTGAAATAGACTTACATTAGGTCCTACATGTAGTTTTAATAACACATTCAGATTATATAAAAAGGGACAATAATACAGTAAATTGGCTCTGGTATTAAAAACTTAACGATGTAGGTTCTTTGTAATTTTTCGAAGAGTCCCTAAACTTTGCTATTATCATTCATGAATAGGTTTATATATCGTTTTTTCTCTCTCATATGGCGAGGATTTACAAAAGTGAAATTTATCATACATGTAAAAGGCTTTTTTTGTTTGTCATATACAGCGCTGTCTCTTAATGTGTCCAGCAGACAAACAAGATATACTTTACACCTGCATATGGAGCCAAGGTTCAGATTTCGGATCAAGATACTCCTTTTCTCCTGCATGTACATGTATCACTGATGATTTTCTATTGACTCTATTCACGTTTCATTAAGGAGAGTCTGGTGTCCCATAAGCACAAATATATATATATCGTTGACATGGAGCCACCTGGGAATAGAAGTTCACCATGTAATTTATATCTTCTACAAAAAAACCACATAACCAAAATATTTCGAGTTCGTGCCGTGCTCTTTCGAATTTAATGGATCCACCCC